AAAGAAGATGAAGCACCTATTAAAAAATAAACTTAAATTTTATTTTTTTAATTAACAATAATTATTAAGAGACTAATTGATAAATAAAATAAAATAAAAATATAACAATTTATTATTAAATAAATTTATTAGTTAAATACGTGTTTAAATATTATTAGTTAAAATTTTCTGGTACGGTACCCTGAAAATTTTTAAGGGCACCTTAAAATTTAACTATTTATATAGGTTCAATAATGAAGGGTATAACAATCGTCTAAAATTTCAGGGTACTATATATATATATATATGGAGATTAAATAATTAAGTTACAAATACTCTTACGTTGTTAATAAATTTATATAAAATATATTTTTATTAATTCAACCGTTGAATTTGAGTTATAATTATGTATTATTACATTGATTATGTGTCAAATATTGTCAAAATTAAACAACAATAAATATGCAAGTGTTCTTACTCTATATATATTATGGTAAGTATTTACCATTAGTATTCTTACTCTCATTAGTAGGCATTTACCATTAACATTTTTTACAATATATAAGCATATTACCTGTTAATATTATCGCCTCTTGTTTGGGGTAAGAAATTTTTTTTAAGTTATAAAACTATATTGGAGGATATACTTTTCGAGGTGTTTTGAAGAGTTTTCAAGTCTCTTACACCTAAAACTGGTCGAAAAATAGGACTGGTCAAAACTAGAAACTTTTCAAGGCATTTTGAGGGGTGCTCAAGGCCCTTACACCCTAAAAAAACTGCTTGAAAAACAAGAATAACAGGAAAAATATTCTAAGTCAACAGGACTGAAAGTCTTTCGAGAAATTTTTAAAGGTTGTTCAAGTCTCTAACACACAAAAATTGCTCGAAAAGAAGGAAGTAGGAAAAAATATGCTAAGTCCACAAAGCTCCAGATCTTCTCTAGAATTGCTCAAAAATTAGGAAGCGGATAGAGAATATTCTAAGTCCACAAACCTAACAAAGCTCTTGATCTTCTCCAGAATTGCTCGAAAACCAAGAAGCAGTTAGATAATATTTTAAGTCTACAAATCTGGTCGAGCTTCATATTCCCTCTAGAGTTGCTTGAAAAATAGGAATAAGCAGAGGAAATATTCTAAGTCCACGAGACCAAAAAAGAGCTCGCAGTCTCCCAGACTTGGTTGAAAAATAGAAATCAAAAGGGAAATAACCCCAAGTCCACAAAGCCAAATGAGCTTGTTTGATTTCTCTCAGAACTGATCGAGAAACAGAAAAGTCCGTAAGAGGCATGATAAGACTCAAAAGATCAACGCAAGGGTCAAAAGCGGTTACCAACAGTTACCATCAGATGAAAATCCAACAACATGAAGAAAGATCATGGGCGATAGTAGTTATAGAAAGAGGCTCAACCGCCAACACGATCATAAGCAAACGTAGACAATGAGCAACAGCAATTGGATGTAAGCACGCACAAAAGACAGTTACTAAGAAAGTGTCTGCAAAAGAAGGCGGACAGTAATGGTCCTCCTGCCTATAAATACTTTAAAGCATCATTTGCCGAGGGACGACTTTTTGCACCCAGACACGTACCTAATTCTCTAAACGCTAAAACCCTGCACCGCGCCAGACACCAGCTCCTCGGAGACACACAATTGTTATTGTTCACTGTTGTTAAGGAGTCGTACATTTATTTTGATGCATATTTACATTTCTGCATTCTAATTACAGTTTCCTTTATTTTTTTTGTTTCCTTTTACTTCTGTTTCTGCTATTCAGTGCTTGTTTTGCACGCTTTATGTAAAAATTTTACCTTCAATCATTTTTACGTAATTATTGCTCATTATTTTTGTTTAATACTCTATTTTACAACGTCAATATAAGCATTACGTTAAACAACACACTTAAAAGAACCCAAAAAGGACCTAAATCCAGTCTCCAAATTGCTCTTGGATTATTTGTTTATAAATTGTCATTTTTCACCATAAACACCTCTATCTAAATATTTTATTTTATTTTATTTTATTTATTTTTCTTGTCGTTCATACTTATATTAAGTGTTCGAAAATATATTCATTTGGACTTGTCTAAAGGATCTTTTGTTTAATGGGTTTTTTCGAGAAGCTTTCCTTCCTAATATCATGATCTTGAGTCCAAGATCAAATATATTATCTTCTGAAAAGCATATATGAAACGTTAAACTTTGAAAACTTTTATAAGTGGCATTCTAGTACGTATGCAATGTTAATTGAGAAAAATAATAGTGTGGGACTATTCTGTTACTTTGAAAAATGTATTGAAAGAAAAAAAAAATCATATAAGTCATGAAATATGAAAACCTCTTGTTTCCTATTCTTATTGTAAACGTAACCGCGATTTCTACCAAAGTCAAGCCATTGTTGGCTTTGAAGTTTATTCTGGAAATTTGAGACACCGCTGCCATAAGGCATTCCATGTTCATGATTCTCTCTATTGCATGTAATTTAGCTTAATTGAAATGGTTATTGCTACAATATCTTCTCCAACCTTTATAAATTTGGATTCATAGCATATATTTTATTTCTTTTTATTGTGCATCAAAGATGTTTCTCATAATTATAGCCAAAAAAGATGTTTCTCATCCCACAAGTAAGAACTAATCTATTGTAAAGTGTACAGATTATCAAAGTAAATTTTGTCTTTCCCAAACAAAACTTTTATTGTACACGCACCTAGTAATTAAAATTTCAACAATAACTAACATAATAAAAAAATCAACCATTTACCATTTGTACCGACATTTCTTAGTTAATTATCATATTTCAATGGTTGAAAAAGTAAGGGAAATACACAGTTTTTTTAACATTTCAATATTTAATCTTTAAAAGTTACTTTAAAATTCAATGTTATTTGATACATTTATAATTATATAAAATGTATACTAAAACATTCATACAGATATTTTTCATTGAATACTACTTTACAAAATAGTGAAAACATACACATATGTTAAACACTGGAAAATATTGAAAATAAATATCCAATTTATTTAATCATGACAAATAATGGCTTTGTTGAGGTGCATTTCTTCACACTTTTTTCCTTTTAAAAATAAAACCCTGGTCACTAGGTTTGAGGACTAGTTTGCATACTCATTTCTTTTATGATAATTATATTTCAACTTTTTAGCTTAGACCAAAATGGAGTTCCACAGGTTGATTAAAATTGATCATAGGTTTAATTTGAAACTAAATATATCCAACTTACACGTACTACCTACAAAAAAAAAAAAAAAAATTGTATCACAAACTTCAGATTTAAATCTGGCCTAAATTAAGCCGACTTTAACTATCCAAACACCTTCAATTAAGAAATAAAGGGGTCAAACATGTGAATCATATAAAACTTAGCTTAGTCTCTCGGGAAAAAAAAACACTTGATCTAATATTTGAAGTGTATGTTTGGAAATACTATTTTCAAACGCATAATTATTTTTGTTAATAGCAGTTTTAAATAATTGACAAAAAGTAATGGTTTTTCTAATTAAACTAAACTAGTCCATATGTACTTTTAAGAAAAAAAAATTTATCATAATAATTGTTGAATTGAATATTTTGAGAATCTCATAAAACAGAAAATATAAATATGATAAAGTATAATGCTGATATTGTATATTTTTGCTACATATCTAGTTATCAGACCAAATCTAAATTGTTTTAAAATAACTTTCTAGCTTTTACTCCAGATTTAACTTCTTAAGAATTCTTTCGAAAAAAACTTCATTAAAAGAAACTTTCAACAAGAACTTAATCATGCGACAAGGAGCCGGCTCACTATTAAGTGGCTAATCAGCTTGGCGCTGCAACCAGGTCAAAGTAATGACGTCATCCATACAAGTTGTTTAATTTCGAGTAACGGGGTTAATGATGAAAAATGCATCCTATTTTCCAGGAGCTGGACGACAAGTCGTTTCCGCAAAAACACTCATAATCATGTTTTTTTATCATTATCCTTGTTACAAATAAAACTTTTCAGCACGTCACCATAACCAGCAAATTTTCAATACTTTAATGATTATTTTTTTTATTTTTTTAACTTTAAATTAAAAAATTATATATATTAACTCTTAACATTTTAATACAAAAACACTCCATGTTAATTTTAGTCCTTATAATTATATTTAAATAACTAATAATATTATTATTTTATAAAAAATAAAAAGGTATTTATTATAATTTATATATTTTATATAAAAATACTTCTATTGCTAGTTATATCATACTATTTATTAATTATTTAAACTTAACTGTAAAAATAAAAATTAACAAGCACGTATTACTAAAATATTAAAAATACTTTCTACCACGACTAACCGTCCCTTAAGATAATAAAATGGCCAATATGAAAAGAGCGTTAGCATCCCTTGAGACCAAAGCCTGAAGAAACTAATTAGTTAAACCAGTGAGATGCCAACATAGGACACAAAAGACATCGCAAGGGACAAATAACTTTGTCCAAACACGACATTGTTTTCTCACCGCACACAACCCATCACTGTTCTCTTCGTCACAACACAGAATTTCTTTTTTCATGCGTCAATTAACTACAACAATAAAAAATAATAATAAAAGCTCGTGCTATTTTCAGACACAGCAAAATATGGGCAAATTCCAAAACCAAATAGGAAGAAAGAATAAAGAAAACATAACAAAAACTTCTAACACAGAAACAGTAAAATTATCTCTCAATTTTTTTTCATTCATTCATTACGCCTTTCAACTTTACAGAATAGGGGGAAAAAGCTCAAAACAAGCAAATCATAACAAACCCAAATATCACCCAAAAAAAAAACATAGAAAGATTGATTGATTAACAAGTCAGTAAGAAGCAAGTAGTAGTGTATCCAAAATGGAATGGAAGAGACTCACAAAAGACCACTTTCTCTTTCTCTTCCTCATCCTCGGCCATTTCCTTCATAGTAAGTAATATTTTGACAATAACAATAATAATAATAATTATTATTATTATAATAGCAATGCATTGTAGAGTTAGAGCCAGAGAGCACCAGCTTCTTTGAGGAGAGGGACAAGAGAGCCATTGATATGGCAAGCCATGACTCGGTCCATGGGGCCAACAAGTTTACCACCAATGAAGACAACAGGGAGGACAGAGGGGGTACCAAGAAGCCTCATCAAGGCTCTCTCTAGCTCCTTCCCTCGTGGGTCCTCGTCCAACTCATGCACCGTTGGGTTCACTCCCATTCCACAGAACAACCTCTTTATGGCGTGGCACATGCAGCACGTGCTCATGCTGAATATCACCACCGCGTTCTCCGACGCCAACCTCTCTATGCGCTCCAGTGGGTCCCCCACTACTGTGTTCCTTGGGCTCACGTAGCTTCCCCATGATGCCGCTTGGTAGTGCATTTTTACGAAATTGCTGTTGGTGCTTAGAAGCTAGCTTTGTACATAGAATGAGAACAAAGAGGGTTTGGTTTGGTTTGATTGTGTGAGGAATGAGGGAAGTGAGAGGTGATATTTATAGAGGTGGGTTTATAGAGTGAGGCTGAGTGGATCACTGGATCATGGATCATGTTGTTGTTATAGTATTTTTTTAATCATGGGGTGTGCTATATTCTACTTTTTCTATACCATAATATTATAATATATAAAGTTAGTCTCACTTATCACTAGTCTAAGTCGTCACCTATGCCAATGTAAGAGAGGGAGTGTGCGAGAAAGAGAGATTTACAGAGTAACTTCTCATGATTAATGGAAATTTCCATTTATCATTTTTAGACTGTCATAATCAATAATGAGGTTTATTTGCTTAAGCTTGAGACAGGCAATTTTTCCTGTGGTCATGATTATGTTTGGAAGCAAGGATTTTGTTAATAATTCTGTTTGTGTGAGAGTTAGGAGGATGATAATAATAACAACTATTTACTTAAAGCTAGAAAGAAGGTGGTACTATTTATTTATGTATATTAAAGTTACCAAACACACAGGAGTTATAAAATTAAAAGAGAAAATAATTGAAAAATATTAATAAATGTTATTAAGATGTTAATTAAAATTTTAAATAAATATTATTATTTATTAATTTTTATAAGAATTAATAATTGAATTTATAACATAATTATTTATGTAATAAGGTTAAGAGTAAAAAAGAGAGAGAGAGAGAGAGGAGACAGAGAAGACAGGCTTTTACAGAGGGGAGTTGTTGGGTAATAGACGGCTGAATCCGTCCTTGTTGTCGGGCCTACAAGAGATCAAAAGGCATGAAAGTGGACATCACGAACCTCTGATCTTCTTCTGTATCTGTGTTTCTTCCAATTGACACCTTGCTGCTTCCTGCATGTGCATTTCCTTTCCTTTTCCTCACTTCATTGTCTTTCTTCCTGCTACACTACTTCTTAATTGCTGTAGACAAAGCGTGACAATTAACTTTATAATTTCTCAATTACGCAAATCTGTAATTTTAATTTTACATCAGATAATGTACGCACCAAGCAGAAAATATTAACTACTCATGTATATTGGAAAAGGATCTCATGTGCAAATGTGTGCATGTTAATCCAACCACTCAAATTTATTAAAATATAGTATTTAATAAGATTTTACATTATAATATATATCTAATAGTTGAGATTAAATACGGTAATAAAGTCACAGATGACTTATCTTAATATTAATTCCTACAGTCGATTTTAACTAAATATCTTTATGCTTAATAAAATTTTATAACCTTTAAATGTGAAACTAATGTTTTTTTTTCACATTTTAATATACACTATTTTTATAGAATTATATAATTTTATCGCCATAAAATATATGCAAAAAATCAAATTCTCACACTTATCATTTATATTTCACAATTTAATCAACTGAACTAACCCAAATAAATTATATATTCATTTATTTTAATTTTATTATAATCCTCTAAATATCACACAACGTGTTTCATATAAATGTTAAAAAGAAAAAAATACAACAATAATAATTAATATATGAGTTATGTAAATTATTTTTTATAAGGAACTAACAATGAAGTTGGAATTTATAAGATATAATATAATAAAATGTATTTTATTTTTATTTTTAATTCACAGTTATAATTATACTTTAAAGAGCCTCTAAATAAAGAAAGTAAACTTAAACAGTAAAGTATAAATATAAACATGTATTAAAAATTAAATGATTTAAATTGTAATTAAATACAAATATATTTATCATAAACTATAAAATTATTAAAATTGATACTCTTAATTTCTCAATCAACAATTTTCTAAAATATATACCATCAGTCTTTAATAGGAGCAAGTAAATTTTCTACACATAATTTTGGATGTAATAATGTGCATCATTCTTTTGATAGTGAAAGCAGAGAAGTTGAGGTGTATATTATCTATGTAAGTTGTTTTTAGCACATCTAATTGTATAACTCAAGTACAAAGTGAGTTAAGAGCATAAGCAAAGCTATTTTTAAAAGAAATACTGCAAAAACAAAATGTTTATTGAATTTTTTTCTCTCAAACTTTTACAATATGCATATGCAATTCTTTTTTAATAGCATAACCTCTGGATTTCTTTTCACCATAATCTAATTCAATTTAATTTCATAATTACGATATAATTAAAGTTTTGACAAGTGAATAACTCAAAAGTGTCGCATAAGATCAGATGAAATGGAGAAGAGGGCCCACTTAATACATGCTGCCTAATCTAATCTAAATCTGTCATATCAACTAAGATCCTAAATTCCAATGTTTGTTAGAAATTTACTATTACTAGCATATATATACATGAATAATATATACTTTGCAATTTAGAAATTAATATTTAAAAAAAAATTGTATTATTTATTTATTAAATAAAAATTAATTATTAAAAATTATAAAAAATATTAAATTTGTTTTTATACAATAATAATAAAGTGAACAAAATAAAACCATTATAATATTCAAGAAAAAATTGAAGGAATATATTTTTTTAATATCGGCAGCTTATGTTTTAAATTTGTTCAACTTTAACTAAGAATAACTCATGGAATAAATGAAATTTAATTTTGTCAACTTAAAATATATTCTTATCATTGATCACAATCTTCTTTAGGTGTCAGAATATGACTATCAAATGACAGATGCCTGAATTTGCAAGCTTATGCCTATTCCACAGGCCAATTTACATTTGTATCATGATATATATTTTATGCGCCCACTTCGTAATCCTTGTACACTTTTCAGTGGGTACATATATTCTGGTTTTCACTGGACGTGAGGAACAAGCGTCAATAAGAGATTCTTATAAAACAGATATAGTACGATGATCAGAAGTATAATATCTATAAACCACATGGGTTTTCTAGAATTGGATTGCATCACGGTCAGTTTACATCAAGAATATTTGCTTTTATTTGAAAATGAAGAAGAAAATTTATAAGCACTATTATGTTCTGTTCCTACTATAGAAAATATTTTCTTTTTCTAATTGATCTACTTTTATTTAAAAATCAATCAATAATTAAGATTGTCCCTGCTTTTGGTACAAAAATAATTGCTCCTTTCTTTCTGGTTGAGGTCTACTACTACCACTTAATTAGAATTTAAAAGATGAAACAATAAAATAAAAATAAAACATGAGTTAAGCATGCCCATTTTTTCTGAGTCTACATATGATGAATATAGTGTCATTTCTTTTTTATTAAAGTTAAGAGACACTAAGATTACAAAATTTACTATTTATAATTATACAGTATTCTAGTTAACTTGTGACTTGTTAGCAGCAAGGAATAGTGTTACCTCCCTAAATAGGGCACAAGCTTTGTTTGCTCCCACGGCTTACATCATGCATGCATCATATACTCCCAGAAATGTACACAACAGGTTCAATTTAAGCCAGTGCCTTTTTCATCAATTTGGTTCAACACCACTGTGAGAGTGTAGTTTAAAATTTTCCAACACGGATGCAAGTTTCTCTTCTACTTTTTTCTTCCCATTTTTGAAAGATTTTAAAAAAATATTACAAAGTAATTGTTAATTAATTGCAAACACTATTGTAGGTTTGTCTTATAATGTTGCTCCTTTTAGTATTAATTTAGGCCCTTCCATTAGGCTTTTGCATATGGGAAAGGAAGGGAAGGAAAAGAGACACATACGGACATGTTTTGGGTTAGAGAAGAGATTTATAAGGAAGAAAAGATAATGATATTATTCGATTGTTCTTGTCGGTTATTTTCATTTCTCCACATAGATTAGTATTATGAGTGTGTGACGTGTGTACTTGTGTATGCAAAGGTGAAAGTAGATTTATATGAATGGCAATGAATCTTTCATTTGGGTCAGCCTTTAAACAAGGGGAGTGTAGGTTGTAGAGTGGTCATGCTCAACAAAGGCTGGTATCTGCAAAAATAGTGGGTTTGGCTTGTACAAGTCTCTCCTTTCTAGTGTCTGAAAAGTTTGAAAGGATTGAAATGCCATAACATATACATATGCATGTACTTCTACACAATATTATAGGATTAACGTAGGACTATGCTTTGGGTGTCCTTTTTTTTCATTTTACCTTTATTTTTTTTATCCCAAAGTTATTGGCAAAGTTTTATAATAGAATTAACCTTTATGGTCTCATAAGTAAAGTTACGGTTTTAAAAGAAATAATCAAGGCTTAAATATTCAATCCAAGTTGATATGACTGATAAACTCAAATTGGGAAGTGAAGTTTAAGTACTTCGAAGGGTTGATTCTTAGAAATTTTAACCCAGAGAGAAAGTGAATCGAAAGCGTGGTTCAATATAATAGTGTCTTTTATTCTGAAGATTTTACCATTTCTGGTGAAACAAAGGAAAAGAGTGAAAAAAAAAAAAAAACCTTAAAGGTAGGGAGTGCATATGCTGGAAAACTTTACACGAACAGTCTCATCAACATGAGAAAAGAGTAGGGCCAATTATTTAAGTTCTCTTGATCTCTCTGCATTTCTTACTTTCTTCTTTGCACCAAGGCGCAGGTCTTTTGTTCTTTTATGACCATAAAAAGGTTAAAACAAATGGAAAAGAATAAGTTCCAATTCATGCTACAGCATTTAAAACTTAGGTCCATCCTTGGCCTAACAAATAATGAAACTTCTCTTACGGTGATATGACATCATGCAAATATAAAATACTGAAAATTATTCAGTCTCGCTTTCGTATCTTTGTGTTGAATTCATTTTAAAATGCTTTAATCATAATTACGGTATGAACAATTCATACTAGTTGTCTTATACAATCAAGGTTGTTTATATATTTATTTGATAAGATATGCAGCATCTTGGTATAAAATACCAGCTAATGGTAAATAAACAGATGAAAATATTAGTAGAATGATCTTAATTTAATGGAATTTTTATATATAGAATAAATTTTTTAATCTGTGTAATATTGTATATTA